AACAGCAGCTGCTCTTGTCCCCGAGCAGTGGTTGCTCTGGGGCATGAATTTGAGGTGTCCTGCAGCACCTCCAACACTGCAAAACAAAGATTTCCCCATTTTCTTCAAGCATGTAAACGCTAAGCTCCTACAACTAGATACATTTATCTATTTTTAGGTTACCTTCAGAATCTGTGTCCCATGGCACGGTCAGATTTCATTTTCCGAGCCAGTGCATCTCTGCTGAGGCAACGCTGCCACTCAGTGGCTCCCGCAGAGCCAACACATCACCGAGGCTCCGGGTCTGTGGCACATCACCTTCCTCCCATTTGCATCGCTCCTGCTGCCCACAGAGCTCGGATCAGCTGAAGGAGCTCACCCTGCCTGTGGGGAGCTGCCCTCGGGTCCTGCACATTTGCCGGAGGGGCAGCTCTGAGATGAACCTTCATCGAGGGATCCACCCAGTGAGGAGGAGATGCCTCTTGGTCGCTTGGCCAGGGCTACCAACCAGTGCACCCAGCACAGCACTAATCCCAGTGCAGCCCCCCAGTACCTCCCTCCTCGCCAGCACCAAGAGGAACTGCAAAGGAGATGGTGCTTGTCAGCCCCCAGACTGTGTCTCACTATCCTGAACAATTCTGACAATTCCCAGACCCCACTTCATCTGTGGGGCTCAGACACATTTTCAGTATGTTCTGTGGTAACTTCCATCAGCATCTGTGGCTCATTCAGAGCTCTGTGGGTACAGGCTGGACAAACCCTGCACTGCACAGACCTGGCACCCAGAGCACACCCTGCACATCAGGAATTCCCTCCCAAGTCAGTGCTAGTCACCTGATAAATAAAGAGGCAGAATTGGACCTTTGTGACTGAGAAAGGGGGAACTCTCCTGTTCCTGAAGGTGAGACAACCTCCGACAAGGTGTCACCCAGACACAAGCCTACTTGTAAAGGCAAGTAGAGGATTATGCTTCATTACTGCATTTCCAGTGCCACCTTCTGTATAAAAGAGGAAACCTCTGAGTTCAGCAGCTCCAAGGAATGAAACTGTAAAATTCTTCCCCACCCACATGGGAACTCAGTCACTATTGAAATTAAACACTGAAGAAATTACATTTTCAGTAGCTCAACAGCACACTGAATTGTATGCTTGAGACACCCACAAATGCCAAAACCTGCTAATTTTACAAAGAAAGTACATCAGCTTCACTCTGTGTTTGCCATAAATTCATGCAGCTTCTGGGATGGGATGTAATAGACAAGAGAAATAAACATCCATTATTATTAAAAAGAAAACTGAAGCGTAAGTCTGGCTATAAATATCAAAAGTATGCAACCAGGGAGTGCTGTTATTCTTCTCTATGTCATTTCAAACTCTCCCAGGGATTTTTAGTCCCAGACTGCTGTGGGGCCACTGTGCCCTGCCTGGGCCATGGGAATGCACACCTCATCCTCACAGACTCCTCTGTATCCAACCACACAGACAAGTGACTGTGGTAAACAGCTGCTGTGAATAGTTTTTTCATATTGTATCAAGAGTCCACAGGCATAAAAAACCTCTAAATTGGATTTTCTTTTTGCTAATCACGAATTTAAATATTAAGACTGAATCTGATTTTATAGGGTGCTATAGTTGGTTAAGCTGCACAGAACCATTTTCAGAGCTGGATCTGGACCAGTAACTTCACAGAGATACCCAATGCCCCATCCCTGGAAGTGTTCAAGGCCAGTTTGGATAAGGCTTTCAGCACCCTTGTGTGGTGGAAGGTGTCCCTGCCCATGCCCAGGGGGTGGAGTAGGTGATCTTCAAACTTCCAACCCAAACCATTCTGTGATTTCATTCTTCATTCTACTCTCCTACACTGCCTAGAAAATTACTTGATAAATTACATTCAGGAAGTTTTCCACTGAGCACTCTTCAGCATGATTATCTGGTTCCTCCAGACTTTCATTAAAGAGACAGACAAGGCCTTATCAGCTTCCCTAATAGCTGCTCCACGCTGCCCTGCCAGATCTGATAAGCTCTGAAGATGATTTGGAACAGCCTTAGAACATCCAACCCCTTTTAATTGGGGTTGGTGTCTTCAAGTCTGCAGATGCTCCTGTCACTGAATGACTCTTTTCTGTGATCAGGACCAGCAGTCTGTGACAGAGTGAGCATCCCTACAGGAGGCAGAGAAGGTGCTCAGGCAGTAAAATCATCCTCTTGTCATTCCCAGCCTCCAAGCAGGTGAGCACTGAGCAGCAGCCACCGTGTGCTCAGCTCTGGCTCTGTGCACAGCTGCAGGTCACTGGCAGAAGCCGTGGGGGGACTCTGCTCTTGGGGCTGTGGAACATGGAACCAAGTGAGTGAAAGACTCCAAAAAAACTGTTAACGTCTTGTAAAGCCCAGAGAAAGATCCTTTCCAGGTAGGAGAGCTGTTTTGAGCCTGTAGGCAGTGGCATGTGCAAAGAAACTATCTTAATTCAGTAAGTAATCTAAGAATAAACCTCTAGTAGATAAATGCCAAAATGATTATTTACATTTGTCTCTTAAGCCTGGATTCAGGCTTGATTGGATCCTCTGTAGTTTGTAATAAAAGGGAAAGTAGCAGAGTTTTAAAGTGCCACTCATCATGAATGTCTGGCTATAGACAGACCTAAGAGAATTGGGATCCTGATTGGAGCATCTAAAGTTCAAAATTATGTGGAATAAGGCTGAGCTGTAAAATTGTGTACACAGCAGATCATAATTGCAGCTACTGCTGGAATAAATTATGACAAGTGTCTTAACTCCTCTAGTGCTGAGCTGAAGCAGGTTCCCCAGCTAAGCTAGAAGAAATCCTAAAATAACCCCTAAACTAGGACCAGACAGTGCTCTGTGACCTCTCAGGATCAGGGTCTGCAGTTTAGGTTTGTGTTTCAGCCAATGAGTAACCATTGCAGCAGCTGAGTGCTCTCAAGCACATTATTTAACAATTTAGTCCATCTCCTCTATAGAAGCAAACAACTCAATTACTATCCCCAAATCCTCTAAAACCTGGATTTAGGTGGTTGTTTCCACAACACAAGGTTTGTTTAAACTATAAAAGCAAGTGAAACAATTCTGGCTGAGAAGCCTGCTTGGAGTTGTTTTCCAGTTGTCTGAAGAATTTGATTCTCCCTCCCACCAAATTTTAGATTCCAGATTATTTGGGAAACTTTCCAAGTTCTGGCTGGAATACTCAGTCGTTAATTCCCAACTTGCCCATCTGCCAGGTCTAGAAGAGATTTCTGTTAAATCCTTTAAATCATATGTCTAAACTGCTTGTTTATCTGTCAACATTGTTTCACACTACTTAATTTTAAAGCTGAACTTTTTAAACCTCTCGAGGTTGATCCTGCTCTGAACACGAGGACCTGTCAGTAACTCTGCACCATGTAACTACTGCCTGTTGTACCAGACAGGCTGTACTTGCTGTGCTGTACCCACCCAACTGCTCAGGTTCTCCCACAGTAGCCTTTTACACTAACTCCAGTAAAAAAAAAAAAGGATGACTTACCACATCAGGAGCACTTTGCTGGGGTGACAGAGCCTTGCTACACCTAGACAGATAAAATGCGGCAGAAACCCAGCCTGAAAACCAAGCAAAGACCAGTCCTCCCCAGACTCCTCCTACCCAACCTCACTGGGGGCCCAGGTGCCTCGTATAGCCCTTGTCTCAGGTTAATTGGGCCACTTGGCTGACTCCCTTTTGCCCTCCAGAGCCTTGGGATGCTCTTTAGCACTTCCCAGGGTTGAGGACACATGTAGTCAGTCCCCTGTGTGCATTTCCCAAAGCTTTTAGATTTGCAATGATTTCCAAAGCAACAGTCAGTGGGATGGGAAGGAAATCATGGAATCACAGAATGATTTGGGCTGGAAAAGCCCTTTAAAGGTCACCCACTCCAACCCCTTGCCTTGGGCAGGGATATCTTCCACCAGATCAGGTTGCTCAGAGCCCCCCTCCAATCTTTCCAGGGATGGATCATCCACCACTTCTCTGGGCAACCCAAATGCTGTCTCATTAAATCTGTTATTGCAGTAAGAGTTGTGGGCAGTGACTGCAGGGCTGGGGGGGCTGAAGGAACCCCCAGGGACACAGAGATGAGATGAGATTGAGATGAGATGGAATGATGAGATGATGAAGGAACTCACTCATGCTTTGTGCCAGTGGCTTCTTTGGCTGGGATAGAGAGTCCCAGTGTGAGGAGAAGGGAATGGTGTGGCCTTGGGATTGTATTTTTTGTAAGACTGACAGGATGTGCTCAGACAGGAGCATGTAGAGCTGTATTTGCTTTGGTTTAGTGATGGAGACACACGAGTGGAGCTCTTGCAGTGTAATCAGCCCTCCCTCAGCAGAACCCTCCCATGACCGCAGGCATGTCCCTGGGGATGGGGTGCAGCAGAAGCAGGTCCACAAAGACGTGCCAGACATGCCACCTCCAAACAGTACAGCTCTTTTCTTAGTGCCCTGGGAGAAAGAAATCTGGGAAATTAGGCGGATTTTAAAGGAGCCTGAGGAGCTGGAGACAGAAAATCCAATTTCCTTGTTAGCCCCCTGGGGATGTCCAGAGACAGCGGCGCTGCCGGAGCCTGATGGGCTGAGGTAAGCTCTTGGCTTAGACAGACAGAATTGCTGCCTCTATATTCTTCATCACATGGGCTGGCTGCTGACAGGGACCATTTTATATGGAGCTTTATAGGGCACCAATTTCAATTCAAACAGAACAGTTCCCTTGGTTAAATGACCGCGTGTTTGCAAAAGAGTAGTCCTGCTCCTCCTCTGCTGCTCCGGTCTCAGTCTGGGGAGCCCCAGCACAGATGTCCCTATTTACACCTCCCTGTGCTCCAATACTCCTCTGCTTCCAGTGCCTCAGTGTCTGACTTCACGTGAGCTCTGCCAGGCTCCCACCAGCCCCAGCTCAGCCTCGTTCCATGCCCTCACCTGCTTTTCATAGGAATGCTCTCAAAGAGTTCCTCTAAAGCTGTCACTACATGGACACACACATGGAGTACACATATGGACACAAAATATGTTATTTATTGTGAATTTTGCAAAGACACATTTAAGCAACAAAATATACATTTTTGAACCTTTAGTTTTATACATAACAAATACAATCTGCTACCATAGCAATAAATTAAATATACATTATTTACAACAGACATAGGTCACCAGGAACTACAAAGCACCGCCTCTCTACATCAAAAATAAACTTTATCAGATACATTTCTTCAAGATTTATTTTCCCTCTATAAACTCTCTCCACATTCTCTCATACAAATCCAGCACTCCTCTCCGCAGGACATACGCAGTGCTACATTCATTGATGAAAGCATGCTGGGGGACTGGGACAGCCCCAGCCAGCTCGGGGGGAGGCTGGAGCATCAGCAGAGCAGTGAGAGTGCAGGTGGGACCCACAGAGGTGCTGGGTTCTGCCCTGGTTTTGGGAGCTGCACCTCCCACAGGCAAGAGATCCCAGCCCTCAGTACAGCCCATTCATGGCAGAGACATATCTTGGCCCCTTCACCCGCCATTCTCAAGACCCTCAAAACTCTGGGAAGAAACTGAGTTTGTGCTTAGGTTCCCCCACTTCACCCAGGAAAAAGCACTTCTGTGTTGTGCTTAGGTGTGCACCCTGTGCTTGGCTCAGTGAGGTTTCAAGAGGATGCAAGTGCATGCCAAGTGCTCTCCTGAATGGAAGCCGAGCCAGAGTGGCAGTTTGCAGCCAACCCTTAGCTGCACACCAGCTCCAGGGCTGATGCAGATGATGCTGGTGGAGGGGAGAGGGTCCCCCCCTGCTCTGCATGAGGACTTGGAGCTGGTGGCACCAGTGCTGGACCTGTGGACCTGCACCTAACCTGCTGCTGCCTCTCACCGGGCCCAGGCGCTGGTCTGAGCCGGGCGGCAGCCAGAGTGCAGCAGGAGCAAGTGGGAGACTGAAACTCCAGTGGGAAGGGGAGCAGACCCTGTGACAGGGGAGACCTCCCCACACAGTGGGAGCTCTCCCATCACCCCCCCAATGTGCTTCTGAGCCCCTTCTGCTCCCTCTGCAAAGTCACTCCCAAGTGTGGCAGAAGTTGTGTGCATGGAAACAGTGGGATCAGAAAGGAAAATGCACTGCACAGTAATTCTAGTGTCAGTTAAGGACTCTTTCTTTTATATACATATATATATATGTATGTATATATATATATATATAAAAATCCCTTTTATATACGTATAGATGTGTATGTGTCACTTATAAGCACAAAACATTTTGCAAAATATATACAGGAACACCTTCACCCACTGCTGGAAGTGCAAAAGTCCCTGGGGTGTAATAAACCGCTGCTCAGACCCCAGAACCACAGGACAGTCTGGGACATTCCAGACTGGGAGGCATGGGCCAGCACAGGCAGGACCATGCCAAAGCCTGGCCAGGACAAGAGCATCCAAAGCCCAGCTGCTGGTAAGGATGTACAGCAGGTTTTACAGCAGGGGGGAGGAGTGTGTTCTGCTGAAAATGTCCCAGATCCCATAGGAGCTGCTGGCAAACCTCATGCCAGACCTCAGCTCCCAGCCCTGCTGCCATGGGAGAGACAAATCCAACACACTGCACCTCTTCCTAAGGCTTCACACTGTCCTGCCTGTTAGTCCCATTCCCAAATCAATCTGGGTCAGAAAGGAAAGTCACAGTTTCAAGTGAAAAAAACCACAACGACAAAACAACCAAGAATGACAAACCAGCTGACAGTAGCCACTGAATCATCTGCTGAAAGATCTCACAGAGATCAACACCCACAGGAATGACAAAGTCTACAGAACTGAGCGACTTCTCAGAGGAAAAAGCAAACCCAGAGCAGACCCTCAGAGTCATTGCATCACTCAGTGTTTCACTGTGAGGCTTCAGGAAACCAGAGCAAAGCTTCTAAGAGAACTGGGGATGGGTTTGAAAGTGCTACTAAAGCATCATCAGGCAAGTGCTGAACAGCGAAGAGGCACCTACAGCTACGGCCTGGGCTGAGCACACCACACACTTCTCTTCCAAAGGAAAGTCAAGCTTTAAACTCTATTGAAATGCAACTGGCTGGGAGCAGGAGGGAGCATCCCCACGGGGGTTACTGGGATTTACTGGTTCTACACAGAGCTTAGTGCCAGTGAAACAGCTCCCTCCCTTTTCACAACGTGCTCTCCTTCTTTAACCTGGTTCATCTCCCATTAGAGCTACAGCCTCTCCACATAGACCAATTCCAGCACGAGGGGAGCACCTCTGTGAACCGGATCGTAAGGCTGTTGGAGAGCATCTCCCTGCAGAGCCGGGGTAAGCAGAGCCAGTTCAGCTTGCCTTGGCTTATCTCTGGCCTGGGGAGGTGATGGGGAGGAGGGGAGGTGATGGTTGGATCCTACAAGCACTTGCTCCAGAGAGAGGGTAACAGGAGCAGCCCCAGCCATGGCAGCTGCCCCGGGCTGCTCCAGGAGCACAGTTCTGCACCCACCTCCTGAAACAGGCTGGCAGGTACTTTGTTGCTCTTGGAGCACTGGCTGTGTGAAGGTGACTTTGGCACTCAAAGTCCTGTTTTCAGTAGGAATCACAAATTCGCAGAACTGTGTTCACTTGAGACTGAGAACTTGATTTCATGGGATTTTCCAAAGGTCACAGGCTGAGGGGAGCAGGGGAGCATCTCTGCAGCATCATGGCCTGTCTTCCAGAAAATGGGTGAGGGAAATCTATGAGCAATGTGAAATTTGTGGACAGGCTTCAGGAAACTTCAGAAGAAGTTCCATAAAAAAGAGCAAAAGGATTTCTTGGCCTGTTGAGAGAGGTATTTTTTGGGAAAGGGCATTACAGGAAAGTCACCTTGCAGAATCTATAATCCTCATCTTTCAGAATAACAAGAGCTCACTCAAAAGCAGCAGGACAGACTCTCCAAGGGCTGGAGCAGCCTAATGCCACCCAAATCATTGGAGTTTTATGCATTTGCTTGCCTGGTGATCCAAGCCGTGGGGCAAAGCAGAGCCCACTGGGTAAATTCCCTCTGGTTCCAGTTCTAGTACTCAGATACACCACAGCTTTAGCTTTGGGTCACCTTTCCCAGGCCTGTGCTCAGTGTCAGGCAGAGACAAAGCAGGGAGGCCAAACCTGCCCAGGGAGGATGAGCTGGCCTTGGCCCCCAGCTCTGCTCCCTGGGCCAGTTTGCTCACCCACCTCTTGTTGCAAGAAACAAGCAAGCGTGGAGTAAGGGGACGCCTCTGCCCTAAGAGTTTTGGGGTATGGGTAGGAACTGGGGGGGAGACAGCTGGGGGTGGCTGGAGAGGCACTGCAAACCGTGTGCTGGGGGGACATTTTACCCTGTTTTACCCTGTTGGCCCCAGAGAGGAGTGACAGAAAATGACGGCAGAAAGGGAACTGTCCTGGGGCCACTAACTCACTTTGCCCTGACCCCCTACCCCTCAAAAAACAAATATAAAACCTGCTTCCCCACTGATAACTGCAAATATAGCATGGAGGGAACTGAACTGCATGGGGGTCTGTCCTGCTGGCCCTCTGCCCAAGAGGAGTCCGGGGGGGGGAATGGACGGTGCCCACCAGCCACAGCACATGTGGGTGCCCGCAGGGTGACCCAGCACAGCACCTGGAGAGGTCACAGCCCTGGCCACACGTGTGTGTGGCACAATTAAAGACACATCCCCTCCTACAGGCAGAGCTGGGGGCACAGGGCATGTGCTGGGCAGGGGTACAGCGGGGGGGAAGGTGGCTGGTCCCTGTCAGGGCAGGACTGTGGCAGGGTGAGAGCTCCTTCCCGGCACGGCGGGCAGGCGGGAGGCAGGTGTGGGCACCTCACTGCCCACAGCTGGGGCACGTGGGATCCCATGGGGTGTTGAAGGGTTTTCCCTTTGTTGAAACAAAAATTCTCTGCAAAGAAGAAAAGGATAAAAGTGTCAGAGACTGTGGAAGGAGAATATTCCCACCCCCGTGGTGATGGTTGTGCAGCACCTGTCCCAGGGAGGGAGCTGAAGCCAGGGCAGTGCCCACCCCTGAAGCACCAGGCCACCTGCCACTCCCAGGCTGGGGAAGAAGGAAACTCCATGATGGGGTGAAAATCCTGGCTTTTTGAGACCCATGCTTTCAGAAATGGAAATTCCTCTCATTTCAAATTCTATGGGCTCTTCTGCTCAACTTGAGAGTTCCTAATGACACCCCTGATTTCACAGCAGAGAAGGAGCCCGGGTGAATCCCGTCACATTCCCTTCACCTCTGCCCATGAAATCCACTCTGTGAATCTGCCATTCCCCTCAGGTCATTCCCCCATTCCATTTTGGAATGGACCTGCTCTGCCTTTCCACCCCCAGTGCCCAGAGGACAGTGCAGAAAAACTCATCCTCCCTGCAGAGATGAGCCTTTTTGCACAACAGCACGACACCAACACTCACCTATGATGAGTTCATTACCTCCTCCTGCTAGTGGCTCTACGTGAAAGAACAGAACATGGGGTGGGTTGCAAACGAAGGGGCAAGAAATCACAAAATCCCTTCCCTCCCTTCCAATCCCTCATGGGCCCCAGAGCCTCCCCCAGAGCCCAGACCCCCCATGCCAGGCAGGGAGGATGTGCCCGTGCAGCATCCCACCAGCAAGAGCCCTGGCACCTACCGTGTTGGAGCTGCCGTGGCTCAGCTTGTCAAAGCGAAACTTCAGGTTGGACCTTGGAGAGTTTCTGTTCTTTACATCTGCTGGAGGGAGGGAAAAAACAAGGAACGAAAATAACAAACCGTGAACAAAAATATTTGCTGTAGTGCTGGCTGCACTCACCCCGCCAGGCACTTCAACAGACTATCAGGAGTGCTACCAATGTTTAGTCTGTCTTGGCTGGATGTTTGGCAAAAGCTGTACATTAAATGTTTGTGGTGGAACAAATTGAGGCTTAATTACATTTCAGTCTTCCTCCTGGAAATGCCACTGAAAAGGCTACAAGGAATGACTGATCCGTTTAATGTATGGGTGGATTTTCATGTTCTTGGCAGGAAAAATACAAAATAAACACTTTAAACATTCAAAGGGGCTGGTTTAAGAGTTCAGAAAATTACTAATGAAAACAAGGAGGAGGACCTGTGGGGTGCTGAGACATGAAAAGCCTGCCCATGCTCCGCAGCCTCGCTTTGCCAACAATGCTCCCAGTTATGGAGCTGTTAGACTGTATTTGTTCCACAAACAGCTCCTCAGCTGACAATGTGTGTTTCCATGTGGATGGTGGTGCCCTGTGGCAGGTTCTCTGTGGCTCAAGGAATCAGAGCCATGGGTGTCTGCAGGCGAGGGGTGACTGTGGCCATCCCCCAGCTCACCACACCATCACCACAGAATGCACTGGCAAAGGGCCATTCCTGGTGTTGAATTGCACCTCATTGTGCAAATTGACCAGCTGAAATGGATGGAGTTGGTGAGCGGGTTGGCAGGAGGGGAACAGAGCCAAGATCATGGGAAGCTGCTTGTTGATTAAATAACTGTGAGTCATGGCTCAGCCCCTGGAGCCAGTGAGTTTCCACGACTACTGCACATGCCTGTCAGGGGAGACAGAGGGAGCAAAGCCACAGTAAGAGCCACCTCTGTACTCTAATTGAGAGGGAAATAGTTCCCCATGGAAATACAGAACTAGAGCACATGGGGCCATCTCTCCAGAACAGCCCTGTCAGGATGGGAGCTACCCTGCACCCTGTGGATGCCCATCCTGCCAGGGTGAGCGTGGCTGCTGCTTCACCCTGGCACCTGGGCAAGGCTGGGAGGGGGCTCCTCCATCCCAGAGCCATGGACCCCATTCCAACCCACCACTACAGGAACCTGGGGGCTTCCAGGGGCTCCAGAGGCGAAGTCAGAGGCAGAGCCTCCCACCAGCCCTCCTGCAACCCACCTGTGGGGCTCCTGCTCATGATGACAGGGGTTGCCATGGCTCCTGCACCGGGGCTCTCACTGCCAGATGAAGCACTGTAGACAAACACGTCCTGCTTGAATGGCGATGCAGTGGAGGGCTGGCTTCCCTGCTCAGAGAGATGGGACATGGCTTTTCCTGCAGCCAGCTCTTACTCCCACACCCTGCTGATGCCCCACTGCACCCCTGCCCATTGCAGGCCTGCCACCAGCCACTGGTGGGAAAGCTTGTCCTGATGGAGCAACCTCCCAGCCCGGGCACACTGAGCAGTGCCCAGGGCATCCCAGGGTTCACTGGGCTGTCACAGAATCACAGAATGGTTTGGGTTGGAAGGGACCTCAAAGACCATCTAGTCACATCCTCCCTGCCACAGGCAAGAACACCTTCCACTAGACCAGGCTGCTCCAAGCCCTGCCCTTGAACACTTCCAGGGTTGGGGCAGCCATAACACCCTCATGTCCCACCAGGCGCCCCAGCCCTCCTCCTCCCCACACCCAGAGATGGGATTAAGCCCCTCCAGTGGTGAGGAAGCACCTGGGGGCCTAGTGGACGCTTCTCCCCCACAGAGACTACCCAGGGGTCAGGAGGCAGCAGGGAGCCAAGGGACACGTGGAGTGTGTCAGGGGTGGGTTTGGTGCCTACCACGCTGTCATACTCCTCCAGGGTCTCGCTCTCCCCCGCCGTGCTGCTGAAGCTGCTGGTGCTGGAGGAGGAACGGGAGATGTTCGACCGCCCGTTCTCTTTCAGTTTGATAAATGGCCTAGGGAGAGGCGGGACGGAAGGAAGGGCGCGAGGCTGTCACTGGGGAAGTGTGTCCCTTGGGCTGGGACAGCGGGACAGACCCTCCTGCCACCCTTGGAGCAAAGTGCTGCCGTAGGGATGAACCTTTTGGGTTGCTTCTGTATATAACCACATCCAAAGGCATGGGATAAGGTGGTGGGTGGGTGGCCCAGCAGGAAGCCCAGGGTGCAGCTGACTTCCCCTTGGCACGGAGGGACAGGTACTGCAGCCTCCCCAGCTCCTGTGCCCTGAGGATTTGGGCAGCCTCTGTCAGATACTGCTCCTGGCTCTTCTTTGTAAAGACTATAAGGGAGCTGTGTTCATGAATCACAAGAATCTTTTCTCCCCTTAGTATCAAGCTTATTTGTAGTAAAAACTGGTGAGGGTTTTGTTTGACAAAGTCCCTGATGTCTGTGGTAGGAGAAGGATGGACTCCTCCTGGCTCACCTGTCTTTGTTGGGGCATATTTCAGGGGAGCTAGGGTTGGATGAGGTTTCAGACTTCATCTCTTGGGAAGAATGTCCCAAATCTGGTGTCTTTTGGGCTCCAGAAACGCTGTCACTGAGGGCACAAAGAGACAGGTTGCATGAGTTATACAAGAGACTTAAAAAGGATGGTCAAATTATATTCCCCAACACCAAATATAAACTGTGAGAGTGACAGATGCTCTATGGGTACCACCACTTTGATTTAAAACAGAGGGAAGGGATCCAAGGCGCAATTTCTCAAACATAGCAGAAGCAGCTCTTGTTGCTGGTTCTGTGAAAAGGAGGGGCTGCACCCTGGGATAGGTTTCTAGCACCCACCAACAGCTTTTCTCATGTTTAACACTCAAGAGGGTCTTTTAACCTTAGTGACAGAGTGATGACAAACTCACCACCTTGTCCTGCTCTCCACCTGGCTCTCCGACGTCGTGTGCAGGCGAGGGAACAGCCCTGACCGGCGCTTGATGGGGCTCCTGGACTGGTTCTTGGCAGCAGTGGCTGGTACAGGGGGCTGAAAGCAGAGAACAGTCTGGGTTGGAGAGCACAGCTCCCTCCTGGGAGCTCAGAAACTAAACAGCCTGCACAGAATTGTGCTGCCTGAGATTCCCAGCCTACACATCTAGAAAATATGTAATGTCAGAACTTCTTTTCTATCTCCTTTGTGCTTTGGAGTTGAAAATCTCAGACAGCTCATCTTTGGTTCTTCCACAAAACAAGCCCAACTTGAACAGGCACCCAAACCCATGGTCTACTCAAGTGTTCCCCTCTCCTTTATCCTTACTGCCCCTGCAGGGGACTGACAGACTGTCAGCACAGCGCCCCACTGGGCTGCGCTGGGCTGGACAGAGGAGGGACAGTGGGACAGAGGGACAGCAGGACAGAGGGACATGTGGCTGCACTCACTGAGAAGGTGGTCTTGGTCACCTCGCCGCTGTTGTGTGCGATGCCCCCGCTGAGGCTGCCCGGGATGCCACTGCCGTGATGCTTCTTCTGGCTGCCCACCATCGTCTCCATGGAGTGGCTGCGCACTCGGATGGCTCTCTGTGGCAGAGGGGACAGGGGACAACAGGTCATCATCACTCTGTGGGGTGCTGGCCCCAGAACCCCTCCCCAGCTCCAGGTCTCCCCCAGGTACATGGGAGAGCAACCTGTCTGGGCCTCACTGAGAACCAGCACACCCCAACAACAACCCCACTGGTGACAGCAGCAGCCCTGGCAGGTGCAGTTGAGCATGGGCCACCCTTGGGCAGCCCCACAGCCACCACAACATCAGATTTTTCCCCCATTGCTCCATGATACCAAGGACTGCAGCTATGGGACCAGGAGCAGCAGACACAAGCCCCACATCCAGCCTCCTGCCCTGTGCCTGACCAATGTCCCAGACCCCTTGGCAGGAATAGGGACCACAAGCGAATCATAAGCCATGTTTGTGTGCACACCTCCCATGATTCTCCCTGGACTTGGAGAGGACAGATCCTGCAGAGCCTCCAGCCCTGCATGCACATCTCCTGCACTGACAGACCTCTCCAGCCTGCCCCAAAACAACTCCTGAGCTGGAGGTTTCACAGCCACACAAAAGTGCTTCTGTTCTGCAGTGAGCTAATGCTTGAGAATACATTCAACCTGAAGCTCTGCTGCTGGTTTGGTCCATGCACCTCTGGAAGAGACCAGAGGTGAGCTCCACAGCAATGGCCTCACAGCAGCTGCAGACTCTCCCTAACCCCTTTGATCTTCATATCTCCCCATCAAGCTGCCCCCTTCCCTCACTCTTCACAGCAGTCACCTTTCCCTGTTCCCTTTGCAGCTATTCCCTGTGCTGTGCCATCACCGTGCCATGGCTGCTGCTCCTCCAGCCTGAATCCCAGCTCAGGCTAAAGAGAGGAAATGAGCCACTGTGGGCCAGATTCCTGAAGGTGCCAGCACTGCATCCACAGGCACTTGGGGTCACAGAGCTGCAGGCAGACCCACACTGGAGTAAGAGGGAGCTGCAGCCCTGAGCTCTCATGGAGCCTCCAGTGCTGGAGACTACAGTCCCAACAGCCCCTCCTACACATCCAATAACAAACACCAAGCCAGAGTCCATCAGAACAGATTTATTTGGGTCAGCAGCAATTTATACATAATTTGACAGTGTTTGTAGGTAAAAGTGACCAGTTGCTTTGCTGCCAAGCAGTGCCTGCAGGTGCTCACACCCTGCAGGCTCCTGCCCTGAGCTGGGGAGCTCTGTGGGGCACTCCAGACCCCCTCCCCACAGAGCAGGTCCTCTCCCTGCAGCAGAGGCAAAGGCACCTCTCGCTGGCTCATGGCCCAGCAGAAATGGGCTCCACTCACCTCTGAGAGCTGGGCCCCTGGTCACCCAGCCAGGGGGATGGGGCTGCCAGCTGGGTTGTGGGTGTGAAGCACTGGGCAAAAAGGTATCATGGGGACCAGGTCTCACCCTTTGCAGCCCTCATTTACCATCTGTATCTCCCTGGTCACTCCAACAAGGCTCGGTGCAGGACATAAGCCAGCAGGCAGCCCAGCAGCGCGGGCCCGAGGCGGCCAGGCAGGCGCAGCCCAGCACAGACCACGGGGCTCACCTCCCACCCCAGCACTCCCTGCAATGCCAAGAGAGCACGGTCTGTCTCCTCACACACACAAAGTGAGCCCAAGCATGACTATTTAACCTCAGTGCCGAACCCCTGGCGTGGATGCTGTGATGTACAACTGACTGCACAGCAGCTCCATCCCTACGGCTCACACTGAAACAGGACACACCTGAGCCTCCCCCCACTGCAGCAGGGGCTGGGGAGGTGAACACTCCTCCTCCATGGCCCCATCCTCCAGGTGCAGGATGAGGCGACTCATCCACCAGAGCCCACTTCTCTGGGCCATAGATATCACTGTGCCTGTGAAGTAACTGCAGGAGCTGTCCCAGTACAGCGGCAGCCAGGACAGCTCCCCTGCCCATACAGTGATGGCCACTCTGTGTCAGCCCCGTCCCCACAACAAGGCAGCTCCACCACAGACACCTGGAATGGCTCATTCCCCCAGACTCAGGTGCTGCCCCTCCATCTCGAGGGATGTCCCCACTGCCCAGCCAGTCACTGACCCTACTGCCAGTGGTTGCTCAGAGTTTCCTCCACAGCATTTTACCTCTGTTCCTTCTCCTCCAGCCCACACCATCTGCTCTACCTCACACTCACCCAAGTCCCTCCAGCACACCCAGTACCCCCTCCCCTCTCCATGCCCCCCCCTTTCATTCTATCTCCTGTTTTAAGCACAGTGACCACCACCTCCCCCTTGCTTGCCGTGGTAGTCACCTCAGGAGTCTCTCCTGCTTGCTGTCCCACAGCAGCATCCAGCAACTGGTGACAGGAGCAGGACACACCCTGTCACAGCACAGCCTGGCTGCAGGCACAGCATGTGATGGGGGGCTGGCCCTCAACTGACATCCCTCTGGACACACGAGAAATGCCACAGCCCACTGGTGGAGGAGGAGATGCTCACGGGCTCTGGAGAGGTCACCACAATGGGGACACTCACCAACAACAATGGGACCACACCACCCTGCATCTGCTCCCATTGGGGCCAGCTCTGGTGGACTGAGCGGGTGGTGGTGGTAGAAGCCTCCACATCCTCCCACCACCCAACCTTCAGGGGACACCTCCCGTCCCCCAGCACTGCTCATCTGCATCTCCCACCAACGTGTGCTTTGCCAGCCCTGGGTGCATTTTAGCTTTGCTCTTGGCAAGGGCAGGGCTTTACCTTGAAAGACTCCAGAAAGCCTCCATGACCCCCATTCTCCAGCTTGTCCTCCTCAGGCCCCAGCCCCAGCATGGTCTGCGTGTGCCCATGGAGCTCATCGTGAAGGTTGTCCAACAAGGCAGCCCGTGTGCGGTCCTGAAAGAATGAGAAGGGACTCAGCCAGGGCCCTGAGGGAGCAGCAGTGGCACTGACCCACTGCTCAGCTGGCTTGTCCCTCCTGGAGGGCAGTGCCTGCCCCACGAGGCCTCATGGCCATCACACTCCAGTCACTCGTCCCTGCAAGCGCCGACCCATTTCAACAGGGACAGGTGGCTTTGAGAAGGAATGGGGGAATTCCCCACACCTGGCACAGTGCCAGGCAGGGACACACGGGCAGCATTACCTCCAGCTTTGCAAACTTGTCAGACTTGCAGCAGGCGTTCTCGGCGTTGATGAGCTTGGTCAGCAGGAATTCCCGGAACTCAGGGCTCTGCAGGGACAGAGCCAAGGTGGAAAATACCTGCTGTTGTAAGACTCCCCATATCCCTGGAGTTGTACCAACCCAAAACGTGGGCTCACAGCACCCTGCAGCCCCTCCAGATGTGGAAGCATTGGTGGAAAACCCCAGACAGGCTTGGGGTGCCCTCCTGCACCCACACAGAGCTCCTGGCACCAGAGCTGCCACTGCTGCCTCGTATGGGTGATGCCATGTACTGGTGCACGGCCACTCACCCCACCATAAATCCCAGGGCCTCACTGGAAACCAAGATCAATGCAGATCAATTCCAGAAGTCATGTTTTCCCCAAGAAGGTGGAAATGCTTGGAAACATCTCGGACACACACATTTTTTATGGCTTGGAATGTGGTTCCCTCAGCTCCTACCTTCTGGAACACCGGCGGGTTCGGCAGGGCTGGGCCAAAGGAGGGGACATCTTCCCGGGCCGTGACTGACACCTGCAGAGCCAAAGACACGTTATTCTCATGGGTGCAGCAGGATAACAGGGTTTATGGTACCTACACCCAGGTGATGTGTCAGAGGGATGTGAGCTGTTCCAAGGCACATTCAAACACTGAGGAGCATCAAAACTCTTTAACAAATGAGCTGTTACAGGAGCTGTCATACACACAGCATTTTATAAACAGATGTCTGTATACATACATCACATAACAGTGCATACATAATATACCTGTGTGCATACATAATATACCTGTGTGCATACATATCTGTGCTCAATACAAGCTACAAGAGCCCACCAGGCCTAACTCTGGTTGCATCACTGAGCATGGGGCAGGTGCTGGGCAGTCGCCTCCAGAGCTTGGTCTGAGATCATCGATTCATGGAATGGTTTGGGTTGGAAGGGATATTAAAGATCATCTATTCACACATCCCCTGCCATGGGCAGAGACACTTTCCACTAGCCCAGGTTGCTCCAAGCCCCATCCAACCTGGCCTTGAACAATTCCAGGGATAGGGCAGCCACAGCTTTTCTAGGCAACCTGTGCCAGGGCCTTACCACCCTCATGGGGAAGAATTTCCTTCTAATCTCTAATCTAACCCTGCCTTCTGTCAGTGGGAAGCCATTCCCCCTTGTCCTGTCTCTCCATGCCCTTGTCAAAAGATGCTGAAGCAACAACAGGCACGTCCACACTGGGATTGCCCTCACCTTGTACACTGTGTTATCTCCCTCGGGGTTCTCCACCTGCACCACAATGTAGGCGTGCAGGAAGTTGGAGGCAATCATGTCTGGGACAAACGGCGTGTTCTCCTCTTGGAAGATAATTGCCACGATGTCATTGCCAATGTGCCTCTTCCTCTGCAGCTAAGCAGGAAGGAAGAACACTGGGTCGGTAATGCCAGGCGGTTCCACTCCCATGGAAGCAAATGTCAGCCCCGGGCTGGGAAGCCAAGGAACCACTTCTGTGGTGCCATGGTGCTGGGGCTCGGCTGTGCCCATGGCACTGGGCAGGGCAATGTCAGTGCATCCCCACTCAGACCCTTCTGTGCAAGGAAACTCATCTCTCTTACTTGTTGTGTGTCTCCTTCAGTAAAAGGCAGCTTTGTAGAGACATGAAACATTATCTCCCTGTCCCTGAACACCGTGTACACAGACTCTGCTCCCGTCTGCCCATGGCTGACATCCAGGCCTCCTCGAAAACTGGAGATGAAGGGAAAGGCAGAGAGAAAGGAAGAAATATTAATTGAAAGCCTCACAGAGAGTGCCAGTGGCTGTCAGGGGACAGGCTGATGGAACAGGCTAGCTCATTTATCTTTGTCTAGAAGTGAGCAAACAGAAAGAACAAACCGTGTCACATATTCTAACCAAGTATCACCATCACCAGCCTGAAATACAGGGTGTACACAGAGCAGGGCCAGTCAGCCAGGGCTGACCACAGCCGTAGGCACCAGCTCTGGCACTGGTGGTCTCACCATCCCTCACCAGCAGCAGGGGGTCTCTGCCCACACCATGGCTGCTGCAGCGACCACCCTGGAGGCACCCGCAGCTGAGCTGTGACACTGGGCACGGCACATTTCCATACGCAGCTCCTTCCATCTATGGCTGAGCAGAGCCAGATTTTAGCACAACCTCAAATCTGCAGGAAAATAAGTTTTTCTCTCTTGGCAGCTCCAATTTTTTTTTTTTTTGAAAACTCCTCCAGCTTTGAAAAACAAGCCAAAGCTATATTTGCTTCTGCTCTGCATATCCCGCTCAGGAGCGAGATGACTTCTGTTCTCACACGTAGATATTTTTACATATGACATGATTTCTTGTTAATGTATTTGTAAAATCATCCTTTTTATCTAACTTACCCTTTGAAGTCCTGGAGTGTTATGGTGTCTCCCAGAAAACTTAGGAAGTTCTTGAAGGCAGTGCTCTCTTCATTATTGCCAAACAGCTCCTCCTCTTGGGTCTGCAAAACACAGAGTGCATCTGCTGACAGCCCCCATCTCCCTGCCTGTCCATCCCCTGCCACCTCCTGCTCCATCCACGGGGTCCCTGGGGTGTGACCAGCACCTTGTTCCAGGCTGCTCCCCCCTCTGCTCCCCAGCTGGCACCCCCACACTAACCACTGGCCACCAGCACTGCCTGTGGGCTGTCACAGCCTGCTTGGCCCCCAGGACACTCCAGGGTAAAGCTGCTGAGAGCTACTTCTGTCTCGCAGCAAGGACCTTAGGATAATGTCCAGGAAATATCAAAACACAAGTGAATCCTCCATTGGAAAATCCAAGCCCTAATCCCCCTCCACGTGCTGTATTTCAAAACAATGAGACCCTAATTATGGACTTGCATGAGTCAATCAAATCCAAAATGCAACATGTAAGATAATTAGAGTGCCTGTCAGAATAATTCTTGGTGAGTTCTGAGGGTGAGTTGCCTCTGCACTCCCCATCCTGAGTCCCCCAGCTAATGACAGTGTTTTCAGCAAGTGCCTGTCTTCAGAGCCCACAATCCCTCTAGACAAACATAGCTGTTTTGCTGTCTAAACATATATCTGATTAAAATACCATGCCTGCTAAAATCCATTTTCACATCCGCTTTTCCCTACAGCAGCTTGTGGGCTGATTTCCATACTGAGATTTTTCAGTCACATCATTTTTTAATGAGTAGGGAAAACATCCGAGCAATAAGAAACACAGTCAGTGAGGACACAGAGGTGCTGCATGTGGCAGAATTAACAACAGGGTTGAGTCTGTGCCCATGAAACACGGCTCTCTGGGGTGTAGGGATGTGCTCCACGAGAGTGGCATGGGGGCAACTCACCTGCCTGAACTTCTGATAGATCACACCAAACTTGAAGGTGTTGTTGACCTCATGTTCATCATACGACACTATCATCTGGGACGCCTGCAGGAAAGCAAAATAACAATTGTTTCACCAGGTAGTTCAAAAGCTGACAGACCAAACCCACGGGCTGTGACACCACTCCTCGTGGTGGGGGTGGGAGAGCCCACTGGAGCTGCAACAGGGTACAATGGCAGGGCAGCACCAGGAGGGTGGAAGGGGGAAAGAAGCCAGATTCCCACATAATTAGGCCAAAAGTTTTCCACAGTGGCCCTGGGTGGGGTTCTCAGCATCCCTGCTGGGCAGGTTACTTCACCTTGGGGTAGAGAACCGGGTTAAACTTCAGCCCAGAGGCATCATCACAGAAGGCCTGTTGGCAAAAGGAAAGAGCAGTCAGTGCTGAGTCCCTGGCCAAAACTTCACAGCAAGGCCATGAATGTATTACAAAGAAGCCAAACCCAGCATCTGATTACAGGAGCTCCCTGCTTCACATCCTCTCACTGGGATGCCCCATGGCCTGGTTGGCACCCAACTGAGGATGCAGCAAGACAAGTCCCAGGTCTCTCTGTGAGTCAAAGGTGGTGCCACTTTCTCATCTCTTCTCCCAGATATCAACCAGTGACTTGCAGAAAACTAACAGTGGGGCCAGCACATAGCACCACCCAAGTGCCCCTTGATCTGAGAGCCGAGGCGTTGCTGCCCAACGCTGTCCAACACATCCTAACACATCCCAACACTGTCCAACACATCCTCACACATCCCAACACTGTCCAACACATCCTCACACATCCCAGCGCTGCCCAGCACATCCTCACACATCCCAATGCTGCCCAGTACATCCTCACACATCCCAGCACTACTCAACACACCCCAAAACTGCCTGAGGTGCAGTGGCACAGGCTTTGCTGCAGGTGTCCCAGCCCAGCTGGGCATTTTACCTTTGCAATCTGGGGGATACTTGGAAGCTTGCTCAATCCTGCCAGTGGGATCCTTTCATGCAATGTCTTCACTTTAGACCTAGCAAAGAAAGGACAATGAGCAGACAGACGTCAGGGAATGTCTACAGCAAAGCCGTGTGGGCTGTTGGGAAACATGTTGTGCTGCATTTGTTGGGCCTGGTTAGTGAGCAAAGCTCAATTTGTCTTCTCATCTCTGCAGCTCTTCAAATATTCATAGTTTGGAGGGAAATGACAAAATGCTTCAGACATGCTGGGTCCTGTCAGCTTACAGAGGGATGGTGAGAGATGTGACTGGTGTTATCCCAGGCAGGATTAAACCCGGAGAGGTTTACACTCAGTTCCAGGGGGTTTAGCAACAGATCAAAGTCTCATGTTCATTATCAGGCTTGGGCAGTCCCAGTGCAGAAACACAAGGATGCTGCCACTGCTTCCCATCCCACCCTGACCCCCTCCACACTGCTGCCAGTCTGGCTCAAGCATTTGCTGTAGAAACTGGGGACTCCCAAAGAGAGAATATTTTGTTAAACAAGGCATTTTTTCCCATACCTGAGTATAACCCTTAAATATTCTGTGCCATCTGTCTCCTCACATTTAACAGAAAGGATCAGATTTCCGAGGCTGCTGGCTGTACAGTAGAAATTTAAATGATCCTAAAAATAGAAAACAGCATGTTAGTGGCAGGGAAGCAGCTTACCATGGCAAGGACACTGCCTGGACACTCACCTGCCACCCTGCAACCCTCCCATCCCTCAGGGACACACAGTCTCACCCCCTTGCCAGGACCAGGGCTGTAACCCCTCTGCCAGTGGACTTCAGCACCCTGCTCTTGGTGTGTCCAGAGGGCCAAAGAGGATTACAGGACTGTGAGCAAGAGCACAGGGGCTGCCATGCTGGATCTGTGCATCTGGTCAAGCCCAGGGTCCCCACAGACAGGAGGCTCAGAGCCTGGTGTCCTGGGATCCCTGTGGGATCCCTGTGGCTGTGGGGCCAGGGGTGAAGGCTCTGTGTGTGGCCATCACTGTCATGCTGGGAACCCGCTGGTGCTTTCACTCCTTGCAAAGGAGGAAGTTGCAAAATTTACCCATTTTGTTCACAACTGGAGACTTTGTCTTGGGCAAGGGTGTGCCATTTTCAGCCCCGAGGGATGGGGGCACCCACCTTCCCCAGGAAATGCTTGCGGTAGGCTCTGGCCTCTCCCTTGCACTCCAGTTTGTAGCCATAGGTGCTGGGGCTGAGGTTCTCCTCCTCCTCCTCGCAGATGCTGCTGTCAGATGAGGTGGGTGTGCCAAGGTTTTCTGGGTCTTCGATCCAGTACCCCCCAAACTGGGGCAAGATGATCAATGGGTATGGACTGCCCTTCTCTAGGATCTGGAGAGACATGTGCCACGAGGGGTCAGGCAGGACAGGGGTGTGGATGTGGGGTGCAGAGCTCATTGCCCCATGTTCTGCCCCCTCCTGCAGCAGACCCAAGTCCTGGTACCAGGGGAACGAGTCCGGCCCAGAAGGCGCTCAGGGTGGTTCAGTGCACCCACCTCATCAATGCTGGGGTACGGGATGTAGTCTTCCTGGAAAAAGGAACCAAAACACCATCTATGACCATGTGTTTCCCACCAGCCATCTCCTCGCCCCAGCCTTGCACACACAACCTGGGGAGCACCTCCAGCACCCGCTGCCCTGGTCCCTCCCAGCCCATGCCCTGCACCAGGTGCTAATGGAGAGCGATGCTCCTGTCAGGTGAGGCCACAGCAAGGGGGGTGAGCCCTGCAGTGGTGCCACTGTGCTGCCCAGGGGGGCCCCTCCAGGGTCTACAGGAAGGCAGCAATGCAGGGTAAGGGTGTCTGAAGGGGGTTCCACTAATGGTGCAACTTCCAACCCTTTTACACAGCTCCACACTGAAATGCACCAGCCTGGACATAAAGCTGGATTAGGGATTTACAGGCACTGAATTCCCATCTTTGCAATTCAATCAGTGTCTTATTTTCAGATAACATCTAAATCCTTTCCAGCCCTTTGAGTGACTGTCTTTGATGATCACATTAAACCTCTGAGATGGGTGGGGGGACACACAAAGAGATCCCCACAAGAAACAAAAATCAACCAACCTTGTGTTTCTGGCTTCCAGACCTCTGTTCTTCCAGTTTTGGTGCCTGTTTGGAACAAAATGAATGGATCAAATAATTAAGATGTTTTCAGCAACACAGGTGGTTGGCCCACCAACATGAGGGTATTTTGATACATGGGGATAGCTCCAACCAAGTGAGCCTGTGCTCAGGATGAGCTTCCCAGCACAGTAATGTAGGAGGTGCTGTGGGGCCTCTGCCCTCATGGGCTCTGCTGAGGGGAATATCCTGCTATTACTGGCATGCACACTGCTGCTCACCTGCATTTTTTCCAGCATTTCGAAGAATTCTGCCGACTGAAAAGAAAAGAAGGAAATCTCTTTTTTGATGAAAGTGGACACAAGGCAAGCCAGCCCAAGCCACATCACAGCAGGGACATTGGATCCCCATCCCAGACTGGGCACCCTGGCTCTGGCCCTCAGCAGAAATGGGAAGAGACTCTATCCATAACTGAGGGAGTGTCCCCTCAAGACACCCCATCCAGTCCTGCTGCTGAGCAGAGTTGGGGCCTGCAGGCACCCCACACCAAGTGCCCCCCTCACCACTGTGGGCAGCACATGGATCAGTGAGGGCTAGCAGCTCCCTGACTACCCAATGGCTCCTGTTCCACATTCCATTTCCAGAGAAGCCTGGGAAGAGGGGCTGAGTGAGGCCGTGGCACTTGTCCTGCTCCCCATGCACGAGTGGGCAGCTGTGACCCTCGGAGCTCTGTCCAGACCAACTCAGAGATCAGCATCACTGCTGGAGCTCCCTTCGCCAGCAGCCCTCAGCCCCCACAACTCCCCAGCCGTGTGCATGATTTGGTCAGTGGTCTGGAGTAATTTCTTTTCCTAATCACAGCAGCGTTAGCGAAGCCGCTGCCCGTGGCGCTGGGCTGGCCAGTGCAGGGTTAATCCCCACTTGCCACTTGCCAAACGAACTAAAGAGATTAGTGAGCCTGACTCCAATTAGAAACCCTGTGTGCCCTCTGCAGAGCACCAGTCCCACAGTCAGCCCATCCTGCTGCCTAGCTCGAGGGCTGTGGCCGCCCTGCCTGGCCAGTGCCGGGGGAGGACCCGCAGCCACCGCACACACGGGGCACACGGCCCCGAGCCTTGGGTGAGGGGGGCCAGGGACAAGAACCCAACCAGAGCTCAGACAGCCCATCATCGCCTCTCCACGAGAGGTGCCGAGACCATGCCAGTCACTCAGCCATGCTCCCCCTTGGTGAAGTACCCCTTTCCCACCCTGATCTACCTGTGCTTCCCAGTGGGGCCCTGGTCCTGGTGGCAGCCAGAGCGATGAGAAGCTGCTCCAGGGCCACCCCTTCAGCACAGCTGAACCTCAGCTGGACAATCCTGATCCCTTGCCCAGCTTTGCCTGCTCTCAGGTACATACAAATAAATTACCCAGTCAAACTATGGCTGTAAATGTTGTGGCACTCCCAGTAAACCAGTAAGTGGCTTTTCTGGAGGTGCGACACAGCAGCTCCATCTCTCCTCTCACCCCCTCTCCACTCTAACCCACGTTTACTCCTGGCCTTCTGCCCTGTTCCAGGTGCAGTGATCCTGGCTCACACAGCTGAGGAGAGGCTGGGCCATGGCAGACACTGCCAGTCTGGGTGGAGAGCAGAAAGCAGGATCAGCAGCTCCCATGCTACCAGCTGTCAGAAACAGTTTGCAGGAGAGGGCTGTGGGATTTGGGGCAGAAGGGATCATGGTAAAAAGGGGAAAGGCCTGGGGAGTGATTCTTAGTGAGCTCATAGAATAGACTGAATTTCTCAAAACACACAAAAGAAAAGAAGAAAAAAACAGGGGAGGAGATGAAGAAGTGAAAATCAAAGGCCAAAGGAAAACCTGAGAGAGATTTTCCTTCAATAATTGCAGTGAGCAAAGGTCAAATTTAAAGCAGGAGCAGCCTACAGCTGCCAGCACAGGTGGGGCAGCCATGGCTCAGACACAGCCCTGGCCGTGTTTCCAGCTTTAGACTAAGCCCACCCTTACCTACCACTCCTGCAGGAGTTAAAAAGAACCTTGTCTCAGACAGCTCTGTGCCCACAGCTGGACACTCTTTAAAAAGGCTTTTCCTTAGTTTGAACTTGGTTTGGATTTCCTTTATCTCCAAGTATAAATGTTCTTTGAGTCAATTTGGGTAGTTTCAGGTAGCCAGACCAGATCCACCTGCTACAGTCCTGCAGAAAATGCCCACATGGACTGAACAAAGCATGCAGCAGCCTGCGTCCTTCAGGGCATTGTGCATACTCAGAGCCAGCCTTACCAGGCCACAAACATTTTGGTAATTACAGTGTGTGTACAATGACACCTTTGTGGCACCGGCAAGAAGCCACGTCACCCACCGAGGGTGCAGCCAGCAGAAGGGACTCTGCACTCACTGTGCTGGGCTTTTGCTCCGAACTGAACCTGCACTGGTGTCTGCAATGACACCAAGGGCAGCCCAGAGCAGGCAGCACTGCCCTGCCACCTTCACCAGACAAATTTTGTCCTGGGTCGTGAGTTTAGTGGCATACCCCTATGAACAAGGAGCACTTGGAGAAGTTGCAGCTGGCAACTTCTGGCACTGGCAGTGACCAGTAAGTGCCTGCTTCTGAGGTTTACAAACAAAATGACACCCAGAATAACCCTGCACCAGGCGGGAGCTGCCATGGATGGAGGGCAGAGCAGAGCTGTGCCAGTCCTCCTCCCCAGCACTCCCCTCCACACGTCGCAGCACTCACCAGCAACCCGGGAAGAAATCCATTATACCCATTACCTTCTCGGCATCAGCCCCCGCCTGCATCGGCTGCGCAGCCACGGCTGCTGCCGCGGCAAGGCTTCCTCACAGGCACCCGGCAAGAGCGGCCGAGCCCGGCCATCCCCGCCCGGCCCCACACCTCCCCTCGTTAATGTTTCCCCAAGCCAGAGGCACAGCGGCACGGCTGCCTTGTTATTTCAAAGGGTGGCTCCCCTGGGAGGCAAAGTGCCCGGAACAGGTTGGGCAGGAAGCAGTGAGGGTTTGCAGAGGACGGGCAGGTGCCCGCTGGGATGCAATGCAAAGCCCCACGACGGGGATGCACGGCCCCATGGAGGGACTCATGGCCCTGTGGCAAGATGCACTGTGCCCCTCAGGTGGGCACTCTCCTGGGAGAGTGGCAGGAGAAACCGGGCACTGGGCAAGAGACAGAAAATCCCTCTCTGCCTGGAAATCTGTATGCACAAAAAAGCCACAGCCCTCCTAAAGGAGCTGAATGAATCCCAGACGTAAATCCTCTCAGAGTCAGTGCAGGACAACCCAAGCTGCTGGCTCAGGAGCTGCAGAATAGGCACCAGCACCAACAGGACCTTCCCATCCCAGCAGCACCAGGGAGGAGGCAGAACAAGCCTCTTTGGCCAGAATGCCTGCATGGCTCTGACAAAGCACAGGCAGTCTCAGCTGCCAGTGACTTGCTCCTGTCCCAACACCCATGCCTACCCCCATCCCTCTCTGGGACACTAAGCCTTGCACAGATCTCTGGGAAGCACCTCTGAGTCTACCAAGAGCAGGGCAGAGCAGGATGAGAACCAAGGACTTCGACTCGATGCATTCATGCTGTGCAGCATCTCATGGCAGGCTCAGCTATGCCAGGGCCAAGTGACCACCCGCATCCTCCGCACTGGCTGCCACCAGAGAACCCAACTGACTCCTGAGAACCAGGTCTCTGCCTCCCAGCCACAGTCACCTCAGCTTTCCCTTCATCAGGCTGATGGCTCCTTGATCCCTGACATCTCCTGTCCCAGGCACCTTGAGGTCCATCTGTTAAATATCAGCAGATACGTCCCACCCTCTGCCTGCCTCAAACCAATGCCAGCGAGACCAAAGTGGCATCAGGGGCACTGGGAACCTCCAAACAAGGAGGCACACAAACAAACCCAGAGGCCCACAGACAACTTCCAGCCTGGAAAACACATGGCTTTATTTCTGTTTGGCACCTCTGGAGTTCCCTATGCCTGGCACAGCTTAGCAGTGGCCAAGTGGTCCCTGGCAGGAAGGAGTGGTGGGTTGGCCCCTGCAGCAGTGCCCACCGGCCAGGGATGCACCGTCTGCCTCGTGCTGGCACAGAACCACCCACCGCAGTGCTTGGGGAGGGTTACTGGAAGGAAAACAGCACTGGAACTCAGCACCCTGCTCGTCATCACTGCTCACGATTGCATAACGTGAGCGGCGGCGCAGGATGGGCCGCTGGCACACAGGCCCTGCCGCCGTGGATGGAGGGATGGATGGTGTCGGAACAGGCTGCCGGCTGAATTCCAGAAACCACCTACTGCTGCTCCTGCGGGAACAGCCCTGATCCGTACAGCTGCTGCGTTGGAAGTGCCGTTCCTCACCAGCCTGGCTTTCCAAAACCGGCGCCTCGGCTGGACCGCGCGCCCACGGCCCGGCACCGCGGTGCCCCTGCACTCACCTTCATGGTCGGGGGGGCGGTGAGGGGGGGTGACAGGGGCCGCTCCGGGACGGTCACATCCGTGCTGTTCAGCAGCTCCTGCTTCCTGGAAAACCAAACACAGGCGTGTCAGCTCTCCCCTGCCCGAGCCAGCATGCAAGGCAGGAGATAAGGGTTATCTCCCTTGGCAAAGCCATGGCATGTGGCTGCCTGTACAGTAATATCTGGAATCTGAGAAAAAACCCAACAGATGGTGTTAGAAAGCGATAAAAGTAACCACAAAAGCCCCATGCCCAGGGCAGGCTGTGAGCCCTCGCTGCCCCTTGGTGTGGTGCTGGTGGCACAGGGACAGCAGGGCTGGGTTCCTATGACAGCCCATGCCCACGGCTTCCCTCCCTCCAGCACCTTCCCTACCAGGGCAGGACCTGCAGCTTAGCAGCCTTCTGGCAGCAGAGAAGGCTCTCAGCTCAGTGACACCCAGGGACACCGCAACATGGGTTTGGAGGCACCCTTTGACAACAGGGCACCTGGCACAGGCACTGTATTTGGAGGCAGCAGAAGCATCGTGAAGATGCGAGATCCCAGGGAAGCAGGGAGCAGACCCCGTGCCATGCACAAAAACCCCCCAAACCTCAGAAAGGCATGGCCTCAACCCTCCACTCAACAAAATTCCCACCCCTCTCACCCAATGGTTCCCGGGCAGGCAGCCACGCCATCACACAGCAGCACTGCCAGATGCTCCTCGGGGAGTCAGAAAATCTGAGATTTAATTTAGTTTCCTCTCGTCCCTGCCAGGTTAGTCCTGCAGAAACCGGGCCAAAATGTCCAACTGTTTATCTCGCCATAACGAGGTTTGGTTCCCATGGCAGCCCGCCCCGGGATGGCTCCGCACAGCACAGTGTGCACAGCAGCAGGCACTGGTGCCCGCCGGGGCCCTCTCCAAAACACGTAGCTCCTGCCAGAGGGTGCACACCTGACCTCTGGAAACACTGGCCCTCACTGCCAGCCCCACCATCCTGGGCCCTGCCCTCCCACTCACACTGTCCTCTCCTCCCAGGTCCCAGCACCTGTGACAGCAGGGGACAATCACCTGCCGGTCATGGGGGAGGCTCGGGTGGCTGCAGCCCCTCCTTGGCAGGGCCCTGCGTCACAGAGAAGGCGGGAGATGCTGAGGGGGTGAAGTGGGGATGAAGCAGGGAGGCAGTGGGGATGCTGGGAAGGCAGAGTGGGACCAGCAACACTGTGCCCCTCAGAGTCACAAGGCACCGGGGGCTGAGGCACCACTTGGGCTGTGCCAGCACTGCAGCCACAGCCAGAGCACCTGAGAGAAACACTCATCAGGCCGTGTCCAAACGTGAATCCAGACCAAGGACTGATGTTTCACATTATATTAAACCAAAATACATATTCTTTCTTTTTTTTTTGTCTCAGAGCAGGTTAAATTTACATTGTTACACCTCCTTTGAGCTCTTGGCATCTTCCAATTTTTCCATGCAAGAAATAAATTGAAGCAATGTGGGGCAATAGCAGAATTCATCTCCTGCCCACCCATACTGTTTATCTAGTTCCTTCCCTCTCTGCTCTCCTCAATCTCACCATGACTCCACTGCTGAAAAATGCCGAGGATGACAGATTTTCCCTGTTTGCTCTTTGACTTTCTAGGACACTAAAGCACAGCCTGATCTGGAGCAAACCACTCATCCTCTGCTCTCCTTGCTTTGAACCCTGAGCTCTGCCTGATTGCACTCAGCTGCACAGCGGCCTCAAAGGCATAAAATGGATACGACTTTGCAAAGATTAAAGTTATAGGGATGTGCACAAATAATTTGATTTGATCTGGGATTTGTAGTGGGTTGCCATAGCATCGTATTCTAAGTATTATAAAATCACCCAACTTAACAACACGTTCCTCTGTCACATGCTGGCTGCTTCTTTGGGGCCAAACTGCTGGAACTGCTCCTACAGTTCTGGGAGAGCAAAACAAGCCCATCCCCAACCACCACTTGGAACTGGCCTCCACATTGGGAATCTGTTATGTTGAAGTCCAACCACGGATGCCAGTGATTCAATCTGCCACCAGCACCGGGGTCAAGGGCTAGCGGCCCATTTCCCAAACAGATTACCCTCACGGAATGATAAATGAATCATGAGGAAGATTAGGATGTCTTTGTCTGTACACCAGGCTACAATCCAAGGATCCCCCTGAAATGACCCCAGAGCCAGCAGGGGCTCTCAGCCCCACACTGAGACACAGTGCCCAGCTGGCACTGAGAGTACAAGTCTCTGCAGAGCCCAAAATACAGCAAAGGTCACGGGTGCCCCTGCCAGCAGAGACCAGGGCTGGGGATGCCGTGCAGCTCACCCTGCACTCACCTCTCCCTGGCACCACAGGAGACCACGACAACACAACCAAAGGTCACAGCGCTGTGCTTGCTCCCCACGGGGGCACCTGGTGCCCAGCAGGCAGCTCTGCCTGCCCCCAGTGCCCCTGCACCCACCCTGGCCATGGCCACAGCCAGGCACCAGTGCACAGGACGGGTGAGAGCAGCCTCCAGAGCTGCATGGCTGGACACCAATCTCCAGAAGGAAGCACAGGCATCGCTTTAGTAATTTTATTTCTTTGTTTTTCTCATTAGGCAAATTAAGAGAGAAGGAAAAGAAAGAATTAGAATCCTGCATACTTAGTAAATCTAATTAAGGAAATACCTTAATGCAGTTATGCAGGGCTGACTGCAGGGTTTCCTAACGGAGACTGAGATCAGCTCTGCCATCCTGGCATGGTCCCATCCAGGACCCAGCTGTTGCCAGCTCCCAGGGAGGCAGAGCCCACCAGGCCAGGGCTGCTCCCCTGGCTCCTCCCAAAGTGGGAGAAAATGGGGATTTTTCACCCCATTTTGAATGCATAGGCATTGGCAAGCTCCTAGCAGAGTGAGGGTAGGTGAGGTCTTTCTCTTTAGAGTGTCCCTGATCACATCCCAAAAGTACCTTTAAACTCATATCCTAAATTGGGTAAACCCCACTGACATACTGAAATTCTGATTAAAAAGTTCTGTTGAGCACAGAGCCAGGGCTTCCTGAACCCCTAAAGTGTTCCCAGCCAGACCCTGACTCCAAGTGCACACTTCCCTCCCCCTCTCTCAGCCCAAATCCTAATGAAAAACTCCTAATGCATCCCACCTTCTCATTTTGACCATCTGATTTCCCAGATGGGCTCTAAACTGACCCTGTATGTTCATATAAATCACACACGGGAAGGGGAGATGTCAGTGTATTACCTGACACGGTGAAGTGCTCCACAGCAAACAGTTGGCTCTACCTCTGTCACACTGTGTAAATGAGACAGGAGCAGCCCAGGTTACCCTTAAGCCTACGCTTAATTCCACACATCAAACCTGGCCTAAGGAAGTGCCAAACTCCTGCAGCAACAAGTTCCGCCTGTCAGATGTTGCATCCTTGAGAAGGTCAGCAATGACTGTCCTGTAAATTAACAGCCTCTATTTCTGGACTCATCATTTTTTATCCTTGATGGGCATTACCTTGCCAGCTGCTTCCTTTTTAGTTTATTTAATATTCCATTCCCAGTCTCTTAAGTTTTCAGAGGGGACCATGCTTCCATATTGTTTTCCATCCTCCCCCTACCTGAGCTCAGCCCTGCCCGCAGCAGGCAGTGGGAGTGGGGAGTAGGCTGCTCACCCTCCCTCTGCGAGGGCTCCTCTCCATCCCCCACACGGCTGGGACTGACCCCAGGACACAAGCACCTGCTGATACCCCAGGCAGAGCAGCAGTGGCCAGGAACCCTTGGCATCTGCTCACAAATTGCAAAAAAAAATCCAACCAAAACCGTGGATTTTTTGCAACACAGACAAGGGCACCTTGATGAGGGTTTACACCTGGAAATCTGCAGTGAGTGCCTGAACAAAGCACCTTGCCCTGACTTTGAGCAGCTCTCCACCCAATCCCGGGATGCCAAGCAAGCAAGATCTCGCTGCATCATCACTCATCCCAGGGAGGACGTCAGTAGAGGACACACACTGCTGCAGGCTTCCACCAAAGTCAGACAGCCCCAAGGCTCCAGAACCCCCCCAGACCCCGGCTCCAGAGCCCCCCAACAGCTGGGCTCCTGCCCGAGCAGCCAGTGCTGAGCACTGGGCAGAGCACTGGGCAGAGCCCCTGCCATGGAGCATCTTCCCTAAAAACTGATTTACCTTGTTATGTCCTGGCTCGGGATGGCCCTGCAGCGTTACCTTCTCATATAGAAGCCTCAGAGTCAGCAAAAAAAAAACCAAAAAAACAAACAAAAAAAAAAGCCTGCAGCATTTTCTGGTCTACATTTCTTGCAATGAACCACATATTTGCAAACTGCCAGCCTGCACCTGCACACACACAGCATCCCCAGTGCACCTTCCCCGAGCGGGACCACAGCCAGGCTTGGAGCAAGGGGGTATTTGACTGCCAATGAGGTTGGCTTTAATTACCCCTGAACAGAGAACAAACATTGTTGAACAGTTCCGAGCGTCCCACCCTTGTGCAGGCAGTGGATCCCTGTGGCCTGCACTGGCCATGGGGGTCCCAGCTGCCTCTGCTGGCCATGGGGGTCCCCTGCCCACACTGGATGTGGGGTCCCTGCTGCACCATGTGTTGCCCGTTCTGCTTGGGGGGATGGTGAGGAGCTGACTCCTGCTTTGTCTGCACCTCTACAGCCACTGGAATCTTTCCAACTGGCCAAGGACTTCTCACTGGGCCAAGCCAGGACAGTAAGGTTTGATATGCAAGTAATGGTAGGAACAAGTTTTTATCTTTTACAAAATGTGCTGCCTGCTTTCCCTTGCAGAAGCAGAGAAAGTGGAGATTTCCTGCAGATCTGAGTAAATCAGCCAAGGCACATGCAGACGTTTTCAGACCAGAAGGCTCGTCTGATCCTATTCCTGCCAAACCCGAGCCAGGAGCCTCGGGCAGCCGTTTCCGAGCTGATTCAATAATTTGCAAATTGCAGAGAACAGCTCCCAGAAACCTGCATCCCTGAGCACCATGGCACTGGTGCCAAAGGGAAAGGGGAGACTGTGAATGGAGGGGTGCTCCACACCGAGGCACCCACCCACCAGCTTT